TCCAGTCCAAAACGGACCCTGTCATTTGGAGTCTGAATATGAAAACAGCTTGCAAAACAATTTTTTCAGGCTTCTGACAAAAGAGTTGGTCCTTCTTTTGCTCTGGTATCTAGGCTACATTGTGCAGGCTCATGCATATCACTGGTTTTATTCACATGAGTAATTCCATTTGAATTTGGAGCGACAACGTGTATGTGTAAAGTTACTCATATGCTTTCTGTCTCTTTTATATATTGAAATTATGTGGGTTTGGGTTTTTTCCATTTGATGCTACAGCCCAGTAAGTGTTGGCATCATAGTGAACCATCACAGTTATTATTACTGTTTGTCAGCTGACACCTTTGTTTTCATTGCCAGACTAAAATGCAGCTAGTCCTCTCCATGCAATCTATTCCAGCTACGCGATTATATCATGTTTTTATGCAACCATCTTTCACCTGGTGGTGTAAATTCATCTTCCCTATAAAAGATCTTTTTGTATTCAGCTTTTCCTCCAGTCATGACTGACAGTCATTCCAGTTGTGCCATCTGAGTCTTTCTCACACAAGTCTCTCATGACTTCTCCCATACAGAATAATCTAAATTCATACTGATTCTAACAGGATATCTGGATGTTTTAATATCTGCCAGATGGACCTTTTTATTATTCTCATTCCCAAATGCCCTCTCTTTCCTCCTTCATATATGTTCAAGCTACAGCTTCTGCTATTCTCATAACTTTGTGTGTCTTCTTTGTCTCATTGCTGCGTGTTTGTCTAGGGGCAAAATGTCATGGGGACAAGAAAAACACAATATCTATCTTCCATGAAGCGTGGCATTAAGTTTTAAGTGTGACCGAGTGTTTTATTAGATACTTCTTTTCTCAGTCAGGGGATATAAAGAACAATCAAGTAAAATTCAATGCAGACTTTTTGTTTTTAATGGAAGATAATAGCTTTTCACTGATATACTCTCAGCTGTCAGGTGTATACTCTAGTACCTTAATTTGTGCCTCAGGAGAGTAGTCAGGCTGAGCAGCCACTCACTCTTTTGTCAGCCAGAGTCTTTCTTCCTAACCCAGAAAATTTTGTGAATTACTGTGAGTAGAGTCTCCCTTAGGAAATAAAGTATTTTGAAGTTACTTCAGCAGCAGGTCACAAGCTATCAAGAAGATGCATTCAGTCACACCTAAGGACAGATTTATTACATTCAATCTCCAGGGCACTTGCCTAGTGTATCTTGAAAGAATCCAGCTAGTTAGTTTTTGTGAAATCCCCAAATGATGCCTTCTAGGAACACTGAGAACTGCTATTTCTGGGGGAAGGGTGATGACCCGTGCATGGAAAGGACCTGCTCCAGTGGTGACAGTACAAATTACTTCCAAGGAAAGGGTAAAAGGCCAAATACATCTTAAGACTGCCCTGTGAACATGGTGGGAATTTCTCATTTCTTTTATCATAAAGTCTGAGGACCAGGAACTGTATTTCCTCCCTCTGTCACATCTAGAAGATGCAAAATCACCTGTTTGTCTCTAGTGATTCCTGCAGAGCTGCCTTGCTGCAGCAGCACTTCACAGTCAGGGTGTCCATTCCATTTAGGCGCTGAGACCACAAGAGAGACAGTTCTGCCTATGGGTGGAGTCACCAACAGGACCCTAAATAAGGTTTGAAAAGCAGATTAGGTTCCTGAAATAAATATCCAATTGAGGACCACAAATAAATAAAACCCATACACACATTGATTACGAGCATAAACTTTTGATCAGATATGGCTGCTGCCCTGGATTTATACATCCATAACATGCTGTACTTGTGCCACCCATGGATGTGTATTTAGGGAAGCTCTTTCTCAGAAACCTCATTCAAAATTGAGACACAGGTAAATGATTAATTACAAATGTAAATTGTAATTAAGAGATTACCTGGGGAGATCTGCTAATCAAAACTATATATTCTAATTTTTTAGTTTATAAAAAAGCCCCATTCTTAAAAAACCCCACCCTATCAAACAGCTAATTAACAAAAACCAAACAAAAAATCCCCAGCAAATGAAATTTTAATTTACTAAGGAAATTAAGGTGGTAAAAATGTATTAACTTTCATCTGTGCCATAAAACATATTTAAATACAGTGGAAAAGGAATTTTCTTGATTCATATGCTAAAAGTGTATATAGAAATGTAACAAGCCCAGAAATATTTTAAATACTGAATTTCTTTTTCCTAGATACTTGCTCCTCTAACATATTTGAGAAATAGATGAAATATTTACTGTATTATTCTAAACCAAGTTTGTATTTTTGTATTTGTTTACTTAAAAATAAAAAATATACCTAGCATATAGAAAATACAACTACATATAAATAAATATAAAAATACATTTATATTTATTTAATAAGTTAATTTATTACTACTTAAGAGTTCACTTTGTAACAGAGATGAAGTAGTGCTACAAAACACTAATGACTAATGGATTTTCATTTCTCAGTGAAAGCTTCTAGAAAAAACAAAAGACAATATATTAACAATGTCAATTTTCAAATTTTAATTTTGGAATGATACGCAAATATAAATTTATTATGAACTTCTAAAATTAAAGCTTTAATATTAATGTGATCGGAATTAAAGAAGAGCAATATCTTGCCTGCAGAGCTCCCGAAAGAGGCAGTGAGCTTTCCTCAGGGAGAGATCGATGATGTTCTCGTCTGCTGTGCAGTGGAGGTGCCAATGCCCTCGGTGCTGTGGCACTGCTCTCCCCAGAAGGAGCAGTTACATACAGAGCCTTACAGCAGATAGAAACTGGAATTATATGTGCCTGTTTCAGAAGAGTTGCCCTCTTTAAAATACCTGTTCATGTCAAAAAGCATTTTGAAGCACTGACATATAGCAGTAATAATGTTTACAAATACTGCCTTAAACTTGTAAAAATTCAGCTAAGAGTTACTCGAATAAAAGCCTCTCAGTTTTTCTGTCAGTTTTTAGTATGTCTGTTTTAAGCTTTATTCTGACATCAGGGTTGTTATTGTTTTACTTGAATGTACCTGTCTTTCTTCTGAACCCCGAAATTAGGATGGAGCCGTGTCTTCTGCACTGATTTGTCATTTTACAAACCCTCGTTCTGTCCTTCAGCTTCTCCCTGTAAGAAGCAATACCTCTTTCTGTTCCCTTCCTTTTGTCTTGACTCCTGCACTTGTAATCTCAGTCTTGTGGTAATTGCATGTTTTACAGCACGTGGCAAAACCAGGTCCTTATTTCAGTTCAGAATGCTAATAATACAGAACTGTCACAGACACCCTGGTCCTAGAGCCATTCACACTTTCAGTTTGCAACTCTGAAGGTGAGCATCTCTGAAAATTACTTACTGTATTTTGAAAAACAAACAAAAAAACCCACCACAGAAACAGTTCAGGTTGTCCTAAATTTAGGAAAAAATAAATTTAGTACCCTCTGGTTTGTGATTTTATCACACATAGTGAAACATTGCAAGTAAACATGCTGAAAAAAAAGCCTTTTTCTCTATTCTAAAAACAAGTTGTGTTTGTTTCTAAACCTTTATAAGGGCCTTGCAAGTCTCCAGAGTTTCCTCATTCATGCAGGCAGTCGCGTTAGAACAAGACTTACAATAAAACCACCTCTAGAGCCAAGGTTTCTAGGATGAGTACAAATGGGAAGATCTGTTATTATTTTTGAAGAGCAGTAAAACATCAAGTTGCCTAGTGAGAAAATGCAGTGTTCTGTCTGGAAAGGTTCAAGGCTTGAGTTCAGAAAACTGGGTCATTAACAAAAAAGCCCCAAAACAGAAGAAGATTTCCTACTTGGGCCCCCTCCCCATATGAGTGGTTTCATAGCTCATTATATTCCAAAAAGCTTGATCTTTTAAAAATGAAACTTTTCTGAGTGTATTGAAAACAGACGGAAATGAATCAAGGGGCGGAGATAGAAAAAAGCTTTAATGAAGATCTATTTAAGCAATACTTTAAATAAATAAATCATTTGTCTGAGAAACCACATCTATCAGAAATATAAATAATTATATCATGAACATACAAACTACATTTCCTGAAGTAATTCCTGTCTTGCAACATTTCCTGAATTATTTGTATTATGAAACAGTAGTGGGGCACCATTAATTGATACACAGTGCTATAGTTACTGCACTAATTGCAGCTCTCCAGGCCCTCAACTCAGCTCCTCCAGCCCTTTAACAATTGGGATTGATTGCATAGGAGTTATTTTTAGAATGGAATGGCAGAAGACTTTGGAGAGCAGCAGACATTTTTGTGTGTGCTACAGCTGTTTTGGGGAAAAAATAAAAAGTTGAATAAGTTGAATAAGAATGTTTAGTTATCTTTTTGGATTTTTTTTTTTTTCCAAAAAGTCAGAGTTTCCTATTGGATAACTGATATTGTATCAAGTTGAAACTGAGGTCAGTGGTGCACGGCACAGAGGAGAAGGCTCGGTGATATTATTCTCAGAAGAGGAACAGCTTTTCTTTGCAAATGTGCCTGCTAAGGTTGACAGTAGATGAACTCTGGCTGGTTGGGTTCTATAGACAGGCAATCCAGGAGTCAAGTTTGCAGTTTAAAATACCAATGAAGAAAGGCAAGATTCATTATTAACTTGGTGGGATTTTTTTTCCCTAGCTCTGAAGTGGAGCAGTTTACTGATTGTTAGGGATTGTAGCTCTGCTTCCAGGAAAGATTTAGCTAAGAATAAATGGCCGAGATTCACAAGGGTCAGCTGATGCTCAAAAGGTGTGACTGGGAGGAGACACCCATTCAGTTCATCCCAGCTTGGCCTTTTGTTATCCCATCCTGCTGCCTGCCTTGCAAGAGTCCAGCTGGGCTAGATAAACAACTGGACAGGACTTTGTTCCTAATCTGTTCTATGAAATCAGGGCTGTCATCGTCTCTGAATGTTTGTACAATAGGAGGCAAGGCTTGAGGGAAGAAAAACAAACAGAAATATGTAGGAAGAAGGATAACCAGCTTTATAACTGACAACCCCCCCCCCCCAAACCGCAAGGGGGCAAGCCTGGTTTACCTTTGTAAAGTATTAGTAACCTATCACCCTTTTCAGAGTAAATGATATCAATAGCCGTAATACCTGGGCACTGTTACACTGCACTGCATCAGCAAATTTGAAGTGTTGTACTAAGGAAGTGACTGTCCCCATTTAGCTGTGGAAGTGAATGATTTGGCTGTGGTTGCTCAGAAGCTTGGCAGAGTTAGGGAGATAATCCCTGTTTCATGCCTTCAGCTGCTTTTCCCTTTTCAGGGGGATGCCAGAAAGCATTATGGACTTACACACCTATAATGTGTCATTATTTCCTATCTGCTAATTCCCCTGGACATGAGAAATGCATCCTCAGTAAGTGCCACCCATCTTTGTATTCCTTCAGAGAAAACACACAAAGAATATACTTCAGTTTCTACAGTAAAAGCTTACAATATTAGTTCGCATAAAAAAACAACAAAGCAACAAAATTGAAGTAATTGCCTGAAAATGCTGCAAGAGATTCTCCAGTATCTCTTTGTCACTGAATATATTCCAGTTTTAAAAAGGGTAAATTTTAGAGATTAATCGGATGATAAATTAAGTTAGGTATAATAATTTCATATAATATGAAAAATAAGTAGCTTTTGTATCTAGCTTGTTTTATGGTAATCTTTGTTCTTCCTTAAGTGCAACTTGCCCTGGACTTAGACATTACCATTAGGTAAATGACTCTTCCTTATTGATTTCCATCCTGGGTTCTCAGTGCAGCTGGAATCTGGCTTCCACTGAAAAGTCTTGGAATTGGGAGACTTTGTCACCTCATTTGGTGACGTGCCACATCAGACACATTGCCAAAACAAATTCCAAAATTTGGTCTAATGCTGAGGGAGGATGGTTTGAGTGTGCATTGTAAAGTGATCTATGTTAAAATAAATCACTGTTTTGCAGAGGATTAATAGAAGAATGTCTTCCTGGTACTCATGTCTTCACAGAACACAGTGACATCTTGTGGCATGGGAAGGGCTGGTGTCATTTTATTCCAGATGCATCCTCATTTCAGCAGGTTTGCAGATAAAAGTCTAAACAAATTCTGGGCAATTGCTAATGCATTACTTCCATCTGTAATATTCACTCCTTGCAAAGTTTTTTTTTAAATACGGGTTTGTCTCAAGTACTCTTTTAGTTGTGAAAAAAGACCAAGACCTGGTATTGTAAATGTAGTGTGTTGGAGCTTCATTTCAGTTCACTGATATTCCTTGGAAAATTTTCAGCTCCAGGAATGTTCCCATCCCAACCTCACTGATACAAGAATGTGAGTCAGAATTTCAGGTGCTTTACTCAAGTTAGTGTATTATCACAGACAGAGAAAGCTGTCCAATATTGCTTTTGATAGGACCGAAAAGAAAACACAGTAACATTTTATCATAAAGTGGAGACTCTTCCTTTTTCCTTTTTTGTCTTTTTGCAGACCAAACAGGGTTTAAGCGCTGTCCTTGATATTTTGGGACCCTCCTCTGCCATGGCTGCCCTTTGCAAGTTGCTCCTTGGATAGGATCCTGGTTGTCAGCATGAAGGGAAGCGCTGCCCGCGGCGCGGCTGTCCCCTGTGACCGGTACAAGCACGCCTGTGCTGTCTGCAGAGGGGCTCTTTATCTCTACGGAGGGCGCGGCAGCACCACGCTGAGGGACTTCTGGAGATACCACACCGGTGAGCTGGCCTCTTCTCTTGTACTCAGGATTAAAGCCATTCTACCTCCAGTCATCCTGAAATTGAGGATGCTCTGTACTTAGCAGATTATCCTCATTTAAAGTCTTCCCATCACAGGGATGGATAAACTGCTTTTTGTACATTGGGCAGATGGGAGGTGTTTGCTCCTCTTGCAGGCGTCCCACAACGTTTTGATTTCAGTTCCTTTTGTTTCTTTTTCTCAACCAGAAATATGGAGTCATTTAAAATATCCTGGTTCTAGCAAGGGATATCTATGAGCTTTCCTGACTCTAACACAGCAGTAGTTCATGCATGGGAACATGTCAATACAACACCTTGTAGGTTTGTAGTATCAATGCACTATCAAATATAAGCCTTTGTATTTTTTTACTTGGTGTATGGTTTTCTCTGTTCAGTTGTTACTGGAATTAACCAGATTTGTCCTGGGGTTCATGCCATGGAATTGGTGAGTTTTGATGTAGATAAAACTTAAAATACAACCAGTAACAATTATTATATTTAAATGTAACTCTTACTATTATATTTAAATTTGCTAAATAGAAAAATGCATATGTTTAATTTTTGGGAGAACAGAGGAAAGATGACAAAACATTTCATTTTAAGCAGCAGAGCCACATTCAAAGCCCACCTTTTCACCTTTTCCCTACTGTTTATGTGTTGGGTGCATCACCATCTAAACTTCAGCTTTGGTTTATAGTGAAAAATGAATGGGAGATGTTGGATTGCTCAAGAGATGGTCCAGAAGAACTGGAAGAACATTCAATGGTGGCTTATAAGGTAGTAGATCAAGATTATACTGTCCATATCCTGACATTTTATTTCCTACTATACACTGCAATAAAATACCATAGATCATTATGTACTGAAATACTATGCCCAGAAAGCATTTTTGTGTTGGTGCTGGTCTGGATGTAGCTGTACCAATGTTTGGGAATCTTTCTGAACAGAGTGACAGTAATTCAGCTCTGCAGCAGCCCCCTGGTTTCCTCAGTCAGTGCTCGATAAGCAGCAGTAATACCAGATAGAGACCCTGGCAGCACATTCTCTGCCTTATCTGTGCAGTTGTAACAGTTGCTCTGAATTCATTTGCATGATCAGCTACAGTATGACAACATTCACTACAGAACTCGTGTAGAAGAGGGACGGGGGAGTGAAGGCAAATAAGAATTACAGCCCTGCCTGTGAGGGGAAGACAGAATTTAGGATATCAGGAGCTATGACACTATGAAATATTTCTATAAACATGCATAATCCAATATTACCTGAGCAATGCCTCAGAGAGCTCCAGATTCCCCAGCCCTGAAGCTGCCCCAGGCTGACAAGGAACTAGTGGTTCTGAAATGCCGTCCCCATCAAACAGCAGAATGTTCTTCAGGGCTTCCTGCTGGGAGAGAATGAAGAGAGAATAATTAAAAGTTGGTGGCTTTTTGGGATTGTTAAAATATCATCATATTGTTTACTATATTTTGCCGATAGCAACCTTTGTGTTCAAAAACTGTTAAAAAAATTATTTTCATGCTATGTGCCTTCCTGTAAGTGACAAATATTTGTGCATTTTGCAGGGCAGCCTGTGTATTTTTGGTGGGATGGTGGATTCTGCTTTCACCCAAGCAAAAACTCCTCTCTGGATATATAACATTGGTATGATACACAATAGCCAGTCTTTTCCATGGGACATTCCAAGTCCATAGGCAGTAATAAATAGTAAGAACCAAACTGTTTTCTGCTTCTTGTAACAGAGCCTTCCCTAAGCTTTCCAACAAGTAATGTGTGTAAAACTGTGTGCATATTTTTTCCCTCAAAATTAGGCTGTTAAGCTATCAGAGACACAGGTCTTACTTCAATTAGAGTATTTTATGAGAAAATTTTATGTATTTTAAAGTCTCAGAATTTCCATTCCTCCCTCTCTCCTTCTTAAGTTTACTATTTGATCATAAGACTTGATAATTCATGTATTATTTAATTTTTATGCCACATATATTTTAAAAGCCAAGCTCTCATGGAAGAAAGCAGATCAGTAAAGTATATCTCGTTTTATACTTTTACTGAAGAAACACATAAGTTAGAGCAAGAGAAATCAAATATAATTAAATAAGAAAGTGGGAAATTGACATTTTATAACACAGATTTTTCTTTTCCTAAGAACAAACATTTGGGATCTCATAAGTGTGTATTATAATAAAAACAGTGCAGCATTTGAATTTAATAGCAATGTCATACACCATGGATTCTCTGTTTGGAAATCTTGTGTACAGTAATGGCTGTTATTTTGATGTCAGATCGGGAGGGGAGAGAGAGAGGCTCAATTCTTTTTGAGCCAGTAGATCTTGTATCCAGACCAAAATTTAAGTTTCCTGGCTTCTTTTGCTACTTCACTATGTAACCTTAAGTCAAAGGGTTTTTATCAGTCCTTCCTTTGTGTTTCCCACCACTTATCTGAGATAACCTGCTGGAAGAAAGAAAAGCCTTAGAACACATTTTCAAGGAGAAAGCATCTTAAAACTCACAATACTTAGCAGTGGAAATTGGAAATGAGTTAGTCAACACTGGTTGTGTGTCTAGCTGTTTCATAGTTACTATTTAAAATATTTGGCAACAATAGCTTTAAGTAATGCAAGTCTGCACTGATTTCCCATTGTACCTCTGGTGCTGGGTTATCTGATATTTCCTCCTTCATGGTGATCCCAGATCTGTGACTGCTGGCTGTGATTTGAGAGCTATTTAAGGCACCTATGAAAAAGAGCAAGAAAGAATAAATTTATCATAATAAGGTGTATATGGTAAGCAGAAGGAGTCATACATCCATAGGGAAATCTGGGATTCCTGCAAGTTCAGAAAGTGATGAAAATCACAGGTTACTTCTGCATTATGAAATTTAGCTTTAGGAAACAGGAATGCAGTGTGATACCTGTGTGATTCTGTATCAGACAAGGATAGAGGAAAACTATTCAAACTGTGTCTCCTGCAAGTCTCTTGGTGCTGCTGTCTTAGCGAGATTTTTTCAGCCTTGTCAGTAGAAAACACCAGGATGAGACTTCCTTGAAAATGAGCTGTGTAATTTGAACAATTACTGTGGGAGGAGTGTCCTCTTGTGGTGCAGGATCTAAACTGCGCTTTATTAACTCAATCCCCAGATTCCGCAAGATGGACACAGAGCTGCAACGAACCAGCAGAGACTGAGGTAAGGAGCCAGGAAGTGGGGAATGTGTGAATCAAATGCCTGTTGCTTTGTTGATTAAACAGATTGCTTTGAAATATGTTCCCCCAAACAGTTCCAATCTCATCTCTTCAGAGACATGTGGCTATACTTTATTTCTTTGCACTTTCAATAACTTAAGGCTTTTTCCTTCTTCAAAACAGTGTTTAAAAATACTGCTCTTAAATTTTAAGTCCTATATAAGAAGTTAAGTCCTCTCCTCTGCTACTGCTTCTGTTTTTCTGAAATCCTTATCAAGAAAACTAATTTTAAATGGAATATTGCAACCATACGTGAAGCCTGTGCTTTTAAAAGGAGGGTTGTGAAAACAGATTGGCAGCCACACTAATACGTTTTGGAACGTGAAGTGCTGCAGCATTTTTCATTTCTTCAGTGTGAACACGTGGACTCACCAAGTTACTGCCACTTCTAATTGAAACCTGAGTGGAAGCATTTATGGCTTGGTCTTTTGAGATTGGTTTTGTGTCACTACACAGTAAGAATCACTCATTTTCTGCTACTGAAACTTCATCATCACAATGTTTCTGTACCTTGAAATTTCAACCAAAAAATTTTTAAGATGTGACACAGTTACCACTCTGGTTACCTGTGCGTGATGGAGGTGTCAATAGAAAGTTTGGGATTCTAGGGTCATTTGTGGGGGGAAAAAAAGATGTATTCCCAAGACAGACATTGCTGCTGATATGACTTTGTAGGTTTTTGTCTTATTTTTGAATTGTTCTAGAGCTCTGCACCAGCTAACAGAAAAGGTCACAGTGCAGTCGTGTACCATTCCAGCATGTACATCTATGGGGGATACTATGGCATCAAAGGCATTTCTCAGGAGTTTTGGGAATTCCATTTTGGTAAGTTAAAAAAGCAGGATAAGGTTTTGGTACAGTATAAAACAATTGCAGCAGGAGAGCATGGCTTGCTCTGCTAAGAAAATTCTCGTCAGTAGAAATGCTCTAAGTTAGTTTTGGCTTCTCTTTGACAACATTTAGTGATAAATTCAATTAACTGCTGGCTGAAATTAATTAGACTATTACACTGGGATAAGTTTTGCAGTATTTGCCAGTTTTACATCTGAGAATCAGGGAGAATGTATGTTTACTATTCACTAAAATTCTTCAAGGATTACTAAAAACTTTCAGATACAGCAGAGACTCTGATTTCAGGCTATTAATGCCATTTTTGATCTCAAATCTTCAACTGACCATGGGGAACCAAACCTGACAGCAGATAGCTTATTAGCATATTCATTACCAGTCTGATTATTGCAAACCAGATGATTCCCAGAGATTTCCTAAATGCATAAACTTGTTACCTGATGGCCATTCTTTCACTATTTTGAAACAAATGATGGTTTTATCTCATCCTTCCTTCCCTCATAGGGAGAATGTGCAGACATTAATGAATTAATGTTTTTGTTGCCTGACTTTTCCCCTCTAACAGCCAGGAAAGTATCTTTCTGTGTCAGAATGAATGAACTGTAGGAAAAACTGCTTTGTAAATAAAATTTCCATGGCATCTGTCATATAGCATCTGACATTTTCATTAAAAGTTTATTTCAGAACTGTTTTTTTTAAATGCATTTTTTCAATGTCAGAATTTAAGCTGTTTACTCATAAGCTTTGAACAGAAACCCGTATTTTCCAACTGAATAATTACCTCCTCCAGGAAGTAAATCCTTCCTCAAATAGTCAGGGTAAATTTGATCCATCTATAAATCAGTATTTTTGTTTCAGACACAAGGAAGTGGTTGTGTATCTCCAGCCCCTGTGACAGCAGCAGCCCCGGAGCTCGGCACGGCCACTCGGCAGTGGTTTATCACACAGCCATGTACCTCTTTGGGGGGCTGATGGGGCTCACTGAACAGAGGGACTTGTGGAGGTGGGACTTTGGAAGCAGCAGCTGGTCCAGCATCAAAACAAGGTAAACTATTTTATTTGTTACACTAAAAAAGCAGAGAAAGAGATTAATCTTACTCTTTGATACTGCATGAGGGTGGAAAGGGAGATGATGCCCTCTTGGTAATTGTAGGGATTGTTCAGATCAGAATGCAGTGCTGCTGCCATCCCTGGGGCTCCAGTTGGCTTTGCTCGGGAGAGCTGTTGGCAAGGTGTTGATGCAGCTGTCAGCAGTGTAACTTTGATGTCCCAGTGCAGCTGTTCAGCAGTCATCTTTCTGAGTCAAAAGGAAAACAGAAGCTAAAATCAGTGCTAAGTTTCTTGTTGGTCTCCCCTTAACTGCTGGTTTCTCTTACCTTCAGCCAGGGACCTCCTCCAGTGGTAGGTCATGCTTCAATAGTCTGCAAGGACTCTATGCTGGTTTTTGGTGGAGGGATTTCAAATTCCAGCCCTAATGATGACCTCTGGAAGTATCATTTCCCTACGCGGACATGGAAGAAGCTTAGTAGTATTACAAAGGGAAACTTTTCTCCTAAAATGTATCACTGCATCTTAGGGATTGGCATGGATTTCCAAACTATCTCAGAATTCGCTGATACATTTCCCAGCCACTTCAAGAATGAGCACAAGGACCGTCCCCTGCTGGTGCCCATCCCGAGGCACTCTGGCTTTTGCAGCTACTTCTGCCCACAGCCCCCGGAGCGGAGCAACGCCATCGAAATGAAAACCTTCAGCCTGCCCCTGGAGCCAGCGGAATTCCCTGCCTTCCAGACCACTTCGGAGGCAGGACTAGGCCCAAACAGGGTCAGGAGCTGTTTGTCCAAGGACAAGTCTCTCCATCAGCTGGCCTGTTCGGGAGAGGCTTTTGCTGCTGCTCAGTCTGTGGGTGAAGAGGAGAGAACCGGCTGTGGGTGTGCGGCCACGGGGGGTGAGATCAGCAGTACCAACACACTGCTGCTCGTCGGGGGCAAACCTTTGTCCAGCTTCTCTGAGATCTCCTTCAGGCAAATAGAGTTTGATTGCATGTGACTGCTTTGCTTGCAAAGTGAAGGAATAAATTCCCACCACCGTGGCAGTAGGTGGAAAACCAACTGCTTGCAACTGTCTTCAGTTTCCTATCAGCACACTGGGGAAAAAAATAATTAAACCTTCTCATACTTGCTGCGAACAGATTTTTTACAATGTTAACAAAACCCGACATATATTTAAGTCACAACTTGCATGTAAGTTGTGATTTCTGAGAGGAGCTTGTTGGAATGCTGCTCTTTTTGTTACTTTTCTCCTGGTCACTTCATACCCTTTCAAGTTGTAATGGGTGATGCTGCCTTGAAAATCAGAACTGCAGAAATCCATACTGGCCCCCCAAGATGCCATTTCAGGGGCAAAGCTTACTCGTTTTGCACTGCCATAAGGGAGAAATAGAGTGACATTTGAGGGATTAAATTAGTCTTAATAGGAATGTTCTCTACGATTTTTAAATGTTTTATAATCTTCAGGGTTCTTTTCACAATATATTTGCAATATGAGACGGCCTACAACAAAGGAACCCAACAGAAAAATCAGCAACTGAATTCTAGAAGATATTAAAGGATTGTATATAACCTTGAGGAAGCAAAACAATGAGTGGCCCCTGAAAATCATCAGCAAGGACCAGAGGAAGGGCATTTTACCTGTAAGAACAAAAGATGTGCGCCAAATGAGTGTTGGCTTCATTGAATGAATACAAAATCAAAACGGTTTGATTTCCCACAGCAGGGTGGGGAGGGAACAGAAAGAGAAGGGCTTGACAGAGTGGCACAAAGCATGGGCTGTTTTGACTGGTAGCTCATGTTTTAAGCCACGAAGGGATTTCTGCTTTTCCAGCTTCATCTCTCTGTTATCACCCTATGTAGTACTTGTTACACATTTCCCTTCTGTACTAGTAAATTCTGAGTTCATATATGGTTTTTCTTTGCTGAAAAGTGCTTGTTTTGCAAGGCAATATTGTCCACTGTTCAAAGCATTTATTTCCATAGAAGTTACTAAATACTGGCCTTCTGAAAGAACATCAGATGTCCGTAAGAGCTGCTGGTATCTGAAATTACCTGGAAGTGTTAATACTTCCAAGTATTTGAAAAGTTCACTTTTCAAGTGTTTCATAGGAAGTGACTATCAAGTTATCTACAGATTTCAAGAATATTTACAGATACTTTCATCCTCTCTTCATAAATAACTGTCACATGAATTCAATAGGAAAATTATAGATGGGTTTGCAAAAACTGCTTAACAGTTATTTGGACCATCCATGACCCTTACCTGGAAACAGTGGCTTGTACACTGCCATGTGAATAAAGCCTGCTCTGTTTTCTATCACTGTGTGTTCATTTTCACCTTTATGAGTCTAATATATGTGTTTGAATTTTCAAACTGAACAAAGAACTTACCTTGCTGACCAAGGAACGTGATTCTGCAAGCCCCAGTCATTTCCTTGACTTCGAGGGCTGCCCAGGCTTTGAATTTCTCCTCCAAGAACAAGAATTTCCCAATTTGAGGAGGTTTGTTTGGAAGGGACATCAGTACTGCGACTGAGCTGAGCATGTACTCAGCACTGCAATCTCAAATCAGCAGCTTGTTTTCCTTGTGCTGACTGACATGTCTGTTTTGGCATTATCCTGAGAGCTGCTGTAACATACAGCCTTTTATCTGGGATTGACAAGGGAAGGAAATTTAACTGGAAAGGGCAACAATAAACCAGTGAGTTTTCCAAGTCACGCGAAGGCCTCCTGGCAGGTAGCGGCATCCTGGGGATGTGTAAGAGCCCCAGGAAAATGCCATCCAGCCTCTGCCATTCCTCTCTTCCTGCCCCCTCAAACTCTCTTCCCTTTGGCAGCCCCACGAAGGGTTTAACATTTACTCAGAGCCAATGCAGACGGGACAAGAGCCAGCCCAAAGGCAATGGCTTGGCACAGGCAGGAAAAAGCAGTTTGGATTGTGCCCATCTCCTCTGTTCCCTCCCCTGGGCTCTGCCTGTGTGCCAGGTCAGGTGGGGGCACCAGCACTGGCAGCACCACACCCACTCCATCACCTAAAAGATTCCAAACCTCTCGAGCTGGCCCTAAGGCCCCACTGTTCCCTGCCCAGGACACGATGAGAGCAGGGATCGGGAAAGGCCTGGCTGGAGGGATGGGGCTCTGTGCTACAGCAGCTTTGCTGAAGCCACTGGAGGCTCTTTCTCCCCTTGTGTTCCATTCTCAGGTCTTCAAAAAACAAGGGTGAGCACAAGCTGGAAGGGAAGGAGGTTGGGATTTGAAGTGACTGCATCTCACAGGTGCCCACAGGAGTGTCTGGCACCTCAGTCCACTCTGGGCATGCACAACCCGTACTTCAGGTACCCTCCAGTGTGCAGACCTAGGGGCACAATCCTTGCTCACACCACTGTGACACTTCCTGGGTCATATCCCCTTCCAAACCTCAGCCAGTGCTATCAGCTACACCAAAAGGGTTCTCAGAGCACCTCACTCCTCTTTTCCCTCTGCAGTCACCTTTTCAGAGAGGGAGAAAAGAGCCTTTGTGGATGTTTCCGATATTTCTCCATAACTACAGCAGTTAATGGGAATTCATCCCAGGCCCAAGCGGGTGACTAAAAGCTGCTGCCATCTGAAAGCTCGGTGGTGGCCTGCATGAAATAATGAATGGAATTACTCCAGCTAGTGGCAAATACTTAGAAATAAAACAAAACACACCATTTTTGGCTGGGACTGAAGGGGCTGCCACTGAAGTTGGCTGTTTAGGACGTCTCTGAAAAGCAGGGAATCCTGCATGTACCTGATATGCTCACAGAAATTCAATCCATAGAACAAAAGCAAAAGGATGCAGCATTCTTGGCAACCTCATCTGAGACACAAGATGTGCTGTTGTATCATAAATTGTATATAAGGGAACAAATTGATCAGTGCTAAACATCTGAACAAACTCACTGTCTTTAGCTGACATTTGGTTTCTGAACATTAAAAATGTATGAGTGGCAGAAATATTTTCTTCTAAAATACAGTTTTCTGTTAATAATAGAAAAATCTAAAGGTTTCATTGTTTTGAGTTATAAGTGGATTTGAAGAACAATTCAGTGATTTATCAGTGGGATCACAGTTTGACCTACACAACAAATTATGCCACAAGAGAAATTATTTCCTATGATTTTAGTCATTAGGATGGAATAATTTCCTTTAAATATTTTCCAAATAGTTTTCGAGAAAAAAAGATGATCAAAGGTTTAGCTGCCCTTTGCTGCCTTCTTTAGCATTTAGCTGAAGTCAGGGCTTGGGAGTAGTAAACAGTTTCCCTTTAAACTATCATTAGTGCTGCTGTATTTGTAAATACAGCCCAGTCCCTTGGTGGAGACAAGAGTAAGGGTGCTCAGTTAACTGGCCTCCTGCACTGGAACCACACTGGGAAGCTCGGGCTCCCCTTCTGGGCACACACCTTGGAGTGGTTTTCAAAGGCACTGCACTCAGAGAGTCCTCCTGGCCAATCTCAGTTCTGTTGGAAAAAAGGCATTTCATTCTTTAGCATCTACATCTTAGGTGCTGTTTTGAGTTATGCTTTAACTGACAACAGGCTAAGTTAAGAGCAGCAACCCAGTGTCCCAAGCCCCAGCTGACCCACCTCTTAGTGCTGTGCCCATGTAACCCAGGGGGCTTAAAGATGACTCTGCAAGAGTTTTGCACTGACATGGTGTATTTAAGACAAAACTACAGCATAAACATTCCAAGACCGAGTTGAGTGGACTACAGATCTACTTGTTCCCATGTACAGTTTCAATACAGATCTCAGTGCAGTGCCTAGGACAGTTCATATGTCACCAGTGTTGTGAAACAGAAGCAAGAGGGTGCACTTTGTTTTATAAAAAAACAACAAATAAATTATACATTGAGAGCTATTGTCAAGCTTTACATATAAAAAGTAAAAATACAGTAGTTAGTGTGGCTTTAACAAAACAAATCTAGCTAAAAAAATATTCTTATAAACTTTAAAAATAAGTTTGTCCAGTTATATAGGTAGGGGGTGTGTGTGTTTATGGAGCAGAGTGCTCAAGCCAAGCAGTCAAAAGGAGGTGAATTCTGCAGGAGAATCCTGTGGCTCCAGGCCCTGTGGGTCAGTGCTGTGGCAGTGCCTGCTCCTCAGGCCAGCAGCAACACGGAGCCACTCGTGACACCAAGCTGGGCCCTGGCTTTAAGGGGCTGTGCTGAGTACCTGCATCCCCCCAGCACTGCCAGGAGCCACTGCAGCTCTGCCTCTGCCACGGCACTGTGGGGAGGGCCCTGCACTCCTGTCTCTGGTGCCAACACCTGGAGCAAACACACCCGGACCACACCTGTGTCACTGAAAGGCCATTAACATATTCGGTGTATTTTTTGGTTGAAAAGCTATGATTGTCCAGCTGCATTTGAAAGCTGAGGCATTACAGTGTCTAAGAGCTACATATATATACATACAGATACTACAACTTCCTAACAGAAACACTATGTGCCCAGATAGAGCTTTAAATGCTAGCTGGCTGTGGAACACAGCTGCTATCGCTTCATCAGTAGATTTGGATTGTACCATAATATGTTCACAATGTGAAAAATACATCCAGTGCTGTTTGTGAAGGACACGCTCATCCCAACAGGATGTCTTTGTTTCATGCAATGAGAAGGAAGGAGCAGGGTGCAGACAAAGGGAGAGCAGGCAAGGACTACAAACATTTTGTACAGAGCCCCATACATAGCTGGACTGTTCACCTGAGCTGCTCTAACAGGGTTGCAAATTTTCTTGCTGAAGTTGTGTCCAAAAAATTGTCTTACATAGCTGTCTTCGACAAAGTATGACTAAAATTTAAGTCTAAAATAAAATATATTCAAGCTAATTCATTAACCATGAGTGATTAACAGGTAAGCAGGTAATTTATGTCATATAATTTACCTAATACTGAACACTATTACGACTAAACTAAAGAAGAGATTGCTTTAATTCTGGTGTAAGAAAGCCTCAACTCCCGTATTTTAATGGCCATTTCCTAAGTCTGTAAATGCATGCAGCACATGCAGACTCTGATGGTCTTAAATAGGTGAGACCAAAATACATCTCTCTCAGGTTAATCAGTTTGAGATAAGAGCTGGGATGCTGTTATTATAAACACTCAATTTCTATAAAACCTTTTACTCCAA